GCAGTTTTGGTTACTATGTCTTTCCAGGTTACCTTTTTCCAATGCTTAGTTCCCTTTCTTGGCTGTGTTTGTTGTTCCCTTCCTCTGTCCTAGTCCAACAGTTGGGTTCAGGGCTTCGTGGCCTTGGAGTAGGCGCCATTGGGCTCGATTGGTCCACCATATCCTCCTATCTTGGAAGCCCACTAGCTAGCCCATGGTTTGCTACTGCAAACATTGCTGTTGGTTATTTTCTCGTTATGTATGCTGTTGCACCTCTTATGTACTGGTTCAATGTCTACAAGGCCAGGAACTTTCCAATATTCTCGGATGGCTTGTTTAAAGAAAACGGTCAAGATTACAACATTTCAAAGATCATAGACCCTAACTTTCACATTGATTTAGAGAAGTATGACCACGAGGGTCGTCTTTATCTCAGCATTGTCCTTTTACTAACTTATGGATTCAGCTTTGCCTGTCTCACTGCCACGGTTGTTCATGTCTTCCTCTTTCATGGACGGTAAGGTTCATACTTTACTGTTATAGTGGGTAAAATTCAGTATTTTAATGTGGCAATAGTTTTTTTCTGACTAGAAAAGTATAGTGCATAAAGGTTAGTAACCATTAGTGAAGTTAAACCCTGCCTCGATGTATAGAATGGAAGCACCACATGACTAGTTATAGTGGTGCAGGGATCTATGGCATCTCAGCAAGTCTGCTTTACAGGAAAAGAAAATGGACGTGCACACAAAGCTCATGAGAAAATACAAGCAAGTTCCTGAATGGTGGTTCACGATTATACTACTAATAAATATTGCAGCAACTGTATTTGTATGTGAATATTACAAAAACCAGCTTCAATTACCATGGTGGGGTGTTTTGTTAGCATGTGGCCTTGCGTTCTTTTTCACCCTCCCAATTGGAGTCATTACTGCTACCACAAATCAAGTAAGCGCATATTTAATTTTCAGTAAAATAACAGCTTGGGATTATCAATACCTACAGTTTTTGTTCAAATAATCACTGTCGGATTTAGTTAAAATTATAGCTTCGTGTCAGTGTTGTGAGTTGCTTTCTTCATTTGGCAACTCTGATGTTCCACGATCTTTGTTGCTCAGACACCTGGTTTGAATGTGATCACGGAGTACATAATGGGATATTTGTATCCAGGATATCCAGTTGCTAATATGTGCTTCAAGGTGTATGGCTATATCAGTATGAAGCAAGGTTTAACCTTCCTGCAAGACTTTAAACTTGGTCATTATATGAAGATTCCTCCAAGGGCAATGTTCATGGCTCAGGTTAGTTTTCTTAATCTTTTGGCACAGAGAAGTAACAGAGTTCTGCAAATAGAAAAGCTTGGTCGGCAAAGGTGCTATCCATGTTTTAGGTGTATAACTGTAAAGACCTGTCCCAAATCTGTTTTTTTTTTTTGGATTATTTATTCAGGTAGTTGGAACCTTAATATCAGCTTTTGCACATCTGGGAACAGCATGGTGGCTAATGGACTCTGTCCCAAATATTTGCGATAGGGCTCTGCTTCCTCAAGGCAGTCCATGGACATGCCCAGCTGATCATGTATTCTATGATGCCTCAGTCGTCTGGGGTCTGATTGGGTCACAGAGAATTTTTGGAAATCTTGGCTATTACTCTGCCATAAATTGGTTTTTCCTAATTGGTGCTGTAGCTCCTGTATTTGTTTGGCTATTACAGAAAGCTTTCCCAAACCATCAATGGATTAGATTGATTTCGGTGCCTGTGGTATTAGCCGGAATAATTAAAATACCACCTGGTACTGCTGTCAACTACAACAGTTGGATCATTATTGCATTTATTTCAGGATTTGTTGTATATCGATACTACAAGATTTGGTGGAGTCGTCACAATTATGTTTTATCTGGGGCATTAGATGCCGGATTAGCCTTCATGGGTGTATTGTTGTACTTGTGCTTAGGGCAGGAGCATGTTAGCCTTCAGCGGTGGGGAAGTCATACAGATACATGCCCTTTGGCTTCTTGTCCAACTGTGAAAGGGATTGTGGTTGACGGGTGTCCTATATTTTAAGCAGATTTTCTGCAGGACATGTGGTGAAGGCCATGTTTCCTTCAACATAGTTCGTCTGGTCATATCTGTCCCCATTGTTACAAGACTTCTGTTTAAGCAGATTTTCTTGCATGCTTGAGTCGACACTCGACAGGTTCCTTCTGGATGCGTCATTAGCAGCAAGAAATAGAGGACTCTATGTCAAATTTTATGATGAGTACAAGATGTCACAAACTTGTGCCAGAAAATAATGACTGAAGAAAATGTTCTGTGAAAATAAAACTTGGATTGTTTCAACTGTTCCTCCACCTCCTGTGATGAAGTGAAAACTGTTTCTGGGACAACATACAATACTGTAAATTTTTTCATATAATATTTTCATTGTTGATGAATCTACTTCATGTATGCAAAAAAAAACAACTATTACACTTAGCAATTTTCCTCAATATTTTAATTATTTTCTCCTCTCCGCAATTTGGGTAAGGAAATGGGTAGAGATGACAAGTGTAACACCATGTCTACGGCTGAAAGTGATCCGAGTTACACAGAAAAGAGTCATTGAACAGTAGCAAAACTTAGTGTTACTATTAGTCTCATCCGAGTTACTAAGTTTTGCTACTGGTCACTAGTTATGCTTTTATGATTCCTTTGTTTCTTCCAACTTTTTCGGTTCATCAGTATATATCCAGCTGCGTATGAAAGAATTACTACTGCTTTCCCACTCCCTTTGATTATCATATACATAAACGCCTCTTCTCTTATATTCCTGTAGGACCATCGGTATATCAGGATGAACAAGCACAAAGACCAGTTATTGCTAATATTTGAAGAAAAACAATTTGGAAGGACAATTGAACTTCACATCTTAACTTAAATATAAGCATCACTTAGTTTCTTCTTACATTCACTAAAAGGATGAGTTCAGCAAGTAGGCCACAAGTCATAGTTTCTCTAGCAGTGTATATATGGAATCTCATATCCTCAATTCATCAACTCAATTGTTTGTCAAGGTGGCCTGTTGTTGGATATTGGGATACAATATGCAGAGGAGATTATATTACTTCCATGATTCTGATCACTATTGAAATATCGTAAAACGATCTCTTCGTCGTTTTATTGTTGTTCTGAATCTTGCTAATGTGTGGCTAGCCTCAGTGCAAGAACTAGGTGGAAAAAAAATTTGACTAATGACTTGGAGAGCTTTTCCCAGGACTCTGAAGAATTATATTGAACAGGCAAATTAAAGATTTAGATGGTGGCATGGGAATGTATAGAAAAGGTGAAATGTGTGGTACCACTGAAAAAGAATGAAGAAGGTACTATAGATGCTAGGGTCCTTATCTACATAAAAAGATTACCACTTTCTCATGTTTTCTTGACATTGTTTGGTACCCAAGTTGCCTAAAGAATATTGTCAACATATCAGCCTACCTTGAGTCTTTTCTGTCTATTTTCAGTGGCTAATCATTGTCCCAAAGTATTTGTATTGATCTTCATTTAAGATTCTAATTGATAATCATTGTTGTTTTTTAGTGCCTAATACTCTTGTGCAATGTGAGTGCTCAATGAATAACACAGCCACACAACTTGTTTTTTCATTAATATGAATTATTTAATGAATGGCCCTCAGATTTCAGAAACTAATGATTTAAGATGCATTATTTTATGAAAATTATTGAACAGAGAAGGCCAAAATTCTAGCTAGTTTTTGCCATTGGCTGATGAATTTGCCAAGCTTATCTAGATAGCTTTTCATCAGGCCAATTTTTTAAAAAAATTATAGCATCTTCTGCTATCAGATTGTAACGTGTGGATCTATGCATCTATCTAATAATCATCCTCTTTGGTATGGAAGCAACTAGTGAAGATATTTGTCTAGACATATAGTACTTGATTACTACTACTCCCGGCTCACTTGATAAGTTGTTTGATTGAACACAAAATATTTTAAAACTTAGCACTTAAAATAAGACAAATATTTATTGAATTGTCAGTATCATGATGAGACAAGGTCATAATAATACATGGTAAAGGTGATTGGATCGGCATCCTAAGCTGCAAGCGAAAATCTTCAAGATAATTCTGTAGCTGAGAGAAATAATTCATATGGACTCACCTCTCATTTCCCTTCCTGTGTCTTTTGTCCTCTGTTATCAGGCATTTGAAATTTGTATCATTACTTTGGCAATTTCTTTTTGGTGCCATTAGCGAATCCGAAAAAATCTTTGAAAGGAAATGAAAATATCTTCACTAAATTCGGTATTTTAAGTGTCATTTCAACAAAAAGAGCAACTGCTAGCCTGTTAAGTACAAAAAAAAAAATCTAACAAGAAAATTAATGTGAAAGATGGAAATATCTTTTAAAAGTTAACCGAGCAGTTTGATTTTCTTATACTACTTTCTTTGATTAGTCAAAAAGTTATTTGAAAACTAAAATATCTTCTTATCATGATAATTTCCCTTTTCCTTGCACTAAATAATAAAAATAAAACAAATGCTCCCATAAAGTTTATACGCCGCGCAAAGAAAGACGTTTGTCCACTAATTATTTTGGCTATCTAATTAGTAATAATTATGTTTATTTTAATTAAATGTTTTCAATGGAAGAATGATGAATTCACAAGAATAATTGCACTTTCAATTGACCGTTGGTATGAAATTGCACATAGGTAAAAAGTAAAGTGAGAAAGGCAAAAATATTCCCCACTAAAAAAAAAAGGGAGATTCCCTCAAATTGGGAGTAGTGCTTAAACATGTCACTTGGATAATATATGAAGGTACAAAATAACACTTTTTTTATCATATCATCTTTTATTTAACAGAAGTTAATTAATAATAGCTTGAACAATTATATGAAATGGGATGAAGAGAGATGTGTAATTGTTTGCACCTGATATTTTTCAACAAAGCAAAATAGAAGTCATTATTCAATAGGCAAAAGTTAAATATCTAAACAGGACTTTGACAATTATGTAAGTAGAACAATTAGCTATTTTCGCAATCTGGTAATATCATCAACAAGAATTATTATAAAATTCTAGTAGTATAAGAAAAGGAACCATGGTCTAAATGCTCATGGATCTGAGTTCTTCCAACTGTGCCTTTATTTGATCTTGAACAAGCTCTAATCTCTTTGAATAAACTTCCAATTCCAGAATCTGTTGCTTCCTCCATTTCTCATCCGTCTTCATATTGATATCAGAGCTCATTGAACTGTTCCCAAATCCTAGAGGGGTTGGACCCAATGACATTCCGAACCCAGAATATCTCGATCCATTCAAATTGTTAAACAATTCCTTGAAAATGGGTGATAGACAGCTCCTCACTGTTTCCTCGATCAAACTAGGAATTGAAGCTGCAACTGTGGCTGTGGCCTGGGGGGCGGCCATCGAGACGGGAGTTGGGGGAAGAATGACATTCGTTCCTCCACCAGATGGCTGATAGTACTGTTGAATATACCCGGGTTTTTCTTCAGAGTTAATTGTTCCTCCTCGAGACCTTTTTTTCGACTTGGGAGTTTTAACATCAATCCCGTTAGGGTTAAGATTGAAGTTAGGGCTGTGATCAATGAAATTTACGTTGTTAAGGTTGAGATGTGAATCCTCATCATCAAATCCACCATCATCTGGAGGTGGTGGGGGGGGACCACTGCTACGGACGACAATCGGTCCTGCATTGCTCCAGATCTTGCGAGAGATCTCGAAGGTGGCTTGATCGTGAGGGCTCTTAAAGACAAATTCCTTACCAGATCCCATCTTGCTCATCACTGTCCGATACTTCTTCTTCAATCTCCTCAGCTTCTCTACTAATTGATTCTTGTTGAAATCCAACTGCAACTTGTTCTTGATTTGGTCATAGAACGCACCTGTATCATGATGATGATGCGACGATGAATTTATACCACCGCGCTGGGTTGTGTATTCCAGAAATCCTTGTAACAATTCGATCTCATCTTCATCCATCCACAATCGTTGAAAAAGCTTCCGAGAATCATCCAAAACTAACGGCTTCTTTTCTTCCACAACAATCGTGGCCGGAGTAACGCCGAAATCGTTGATCCGCTCTCGTTTTGGTTCAATACAAAGTGAATCAGTTGCAGGGACACCGACAACGGCTATAGTAACCTCTCCGGCGCCGGAATGGTTCGAAACGGGCACTGGAGGAGAGGAAGTCGAATCATCCTCCTCCTCCTCCTCCTCATCGACATCTACGTCATCATCTTCATCAACAACGGCTTCGTTCTGTGGAGGACCGCTCTCTTCATCATCTTCCTCATCGTCCAGATCATCATCGTTGTAGACGACGGCCTGATCTTCTAGGGAAGCCATTTGAGAAGCTTGAAGATGTAGGTAGGGTGATGGTGGTGGGGGTGGCGATTAGGGTTCGAGGTTAAGATGTAAAAGGGGTGGGGGTGTTTGGTGGTTAGGCCGAAAGTAAAGGGAGTCACGAGCGGGGAGAGGTTTCGTGTAAGACTGGGTTGGGTTGAACGGTTCATCCATATTCACACGTGTGCCCGCCGGTCTGGACTCTCACACGTGACTCGCCATTCAATTCTATTTATTTTAACTAATTATAATTTAAAATAGAATCGATTAATTACTTAATTACTAATTGTTTTTTATAGATAAAAAACTTGCAGTATTTCAATAAATACGCATTTTCCCAGCGGTAGGTTCCAACCATATTATATATTTAATAATGAACCAATGAGAGGAAATCAGAATTTGTTACATTTTGACATTTAGGAAAATATCACGAAGAGCACCAACAACTAGTTTCTCTTTTCTTTTTGGACTTTTGAAAAAGACCGTCTTTTATTACTAAAAATAAATTATATTCCCCTCCCCAATTTTACTTGTTCATTATATTATTTTAAGATGTTCAATAATATTTATTTAATTTATAACACTAATAAATAATTTATCATTGTATGTCTATTTAACCTTTGTTATTAAATACTATTCTCTCTGTCCCTAATTACTAGTTCATTTTTCCTTTTTTAGCTGTACCTAATTACTTATCCATTTTGACAAATCAAGAAAGGACAATTTTTTTTTTACCTATTATACCCTCAATTAATTACTTTGAAAAAGGTGGAACTTCTTGAAAATGTTAAGTCTTTAATTCATCCACTTCATAATTAATAGGAGTAAAATGGTAAACTTACTATGTCAATAATTGTTTTCTTAATAGGTGTGTCAATTCAAAAGTGGACAAGTTATTAGGGACAGAGGGAGTATTCATTTTTTAATGTTTGGATGACTTGTATTTAATAAGAGTAATTTGGTAAAACTATCTCTATTATTTATGGCTTCTTAATTCGTGTGACCAGTCAATAGTGAACAACTACTTCCTTTGTTCCTAATTACTAACTTTTGAATGGACATACATATTAAGAAAACAATGATTGACATAGTGAGTTTACCATTTTATCCATATTAATTGTGAAATTGATGAAATAAAAATTTAAAATTTTCAAGGAGTTTTACCTTTTTCAAAGTAATTAATTGAGGATATAATAGATAAATTTTTTTTGCCCTTTTCTGATTTGTCAAAATGAACAAGTAATTAAAAACAATTAAAAAAGAAAGAGTGGACCAGTAATTAGGGACATAAGGGTATTATTGTACGAAGCGTATGGTACCATATAGAAATTTCCTATTGTCGCATTAAGAAGATATAAATCAGACTTGTTTCAATATCAATCTTTTTTCCAATTAATTGTTTCTGTCTTCTTCTTTTAATGTTCTTATCTTTTTGTTTGGCTCTAAAGAATAGAGAAAGGAACATCCAGCCATTTTCATTTCTAATACTTCCTCCATCCCATTATTTTATGTGAAGTAGTTCGACTCAGCACGACGTTTAAAAAAGAAATAAAGATTTTTAAAACTTATAGTCCAAAATGAATAATAGAAATTTGTGTGATATTAAATCATTTATTTAAGGGTAAAATATACATTTTATAGTTAAATTGTTACTCCCTCTGTCCCATTTTATGTGGCAACATTTGACCGGACACGGAGTTTAAGAAATAAATGAATACTTTGAAATGTTTACAAAATTGCCCTTTAAAAAGTAGACTCTTTTTTCTCTCTCTTCATAAATGTATTGGAGTATTATTTTAAGATTAAGTGGGATCAATAAGAATAAAAGAGGAATTGTACCTTTATAAACTTACCATATATGGAAATGTGACATTTTTTTTGGGACTGACCAAAAAGGAAATGGTGCCACATAAAATGGGACGGAGGGAGTACTTAATATAAAAATATGTCATTCTTTTATAACTGACTAAAAAGAAAAGTAAGTAACATAAATATAAATATAAATATAAACAAAGGGAGTACTATTTATTTATTTAAAAGGAGAAAGTAGAAACGGGATGAGCTTCGTGACTATGTAATTAGTGGAATCGTTTACAATGTGAGTTTAATATATAGAAGCTACCACATTGGTGCTTTATACCTTGTTTTGCTCCTCTCTTTTTTTTCTTAATTTAACAATTAACAACCTTATCTACTCTACTCAATGAAATTTAATTGTAATTAGAAACTCTATAATTTCAAAAGTGAACCTATAAAAAGTACAAAAGCCACGATTAGTGGTATAAATTGAATAACTCTTGAAGGTTGATTACTAGTTGAGCTTCCTACAGCCAAACTTGCTAACCAAGATCCATCCGCTAGCATGGTCTGACCCATCGCCCCTGACCCTGATCCTGATTCAGAGCCGGCAGAGCCGGGTAATGATCCAGAATCTGACCCTGATTCAGAACCTGAAAGTGATCCAGAACCTGAGTCGGTTCCTGACTCAGGTGTCGATTCATCTGATTTTGAAGATTTTTTGCTACATAAAAGGAGAAAAATGTTAATCAAAGCTTATTAAACATGGCCAAAATGATTTATAATACTAATGTACATCAAAATAAATTTAAATTTTACTAATGAATAGTCATTTACATTTTCTTTTTGACTTAAAAGTTCTAACCCATAAAAACAGTCACTAATTAGCTTGTTCTGTAACGCCAAAGGTTTTCAATATATACAATTTAAATTCAATATAGATTTTATGATTTTAGTTACCTGGTTAGAGAGGATGGACAAAATGTGATGATGTAATTGGCATTAGAACATGTGAATGTACTTGTGGCATCGTCATATGCATAGCTGTAAGATTTTGGACACGCCGACTTGAACATCTGCGAGTACACCGACGGCGAGCACGTCGCCGGTGAAGCATAAGCGCCTTCACAACAGTACTGTGGAGTCTTGAAAGCATCACACGCGCTTCTACAAGCGCCGCCGCCGTCCGCCCTTAGCTCCGTCGGGCATTTTTGGTTCAAGTCCACGTTGCAACCCGTGGATGCGCAAGGACCCGACCCGCCACTCACCTCCACCATCATAGGCAAATTGTACCCGTCCACTAGGCTCACGTCATAGAAATCCTGAGAACCCGACCCGAGTGTGAACTCTGCTAGTGTCGCCGGAGTTGCAGCTCCTCCGCCGTTGCACTCCATCTGTCCGGAACCGCAATCGGCTGTTGCACATGTACCGGTTCCCGAATCGTCAAAATTACAGCCGGTTCGGCCCCAGAAACGGCCTGACCAGCCGGTCGGCGCTTGAAATGAACGAGAAGTGTCTTTGGTTAGCTCGAAACCAGTGCTATCCAGTTTTGGGCTGCCCAGAATTCCAGGCCATACAGTATGGTCACACTTGTTCACAAATGTAAACGTAGCCCCCAATATACCTACATAAGTAAAAATAAAAGCAATGTAAATGACAATTTCATAACAATTCTTCTAAATAAAGATTAAAGCAAATTCAGAAATGTTTGTGACAGAGCATTTCTGAGTAGCTGAATTGATTGGGTATGGATTATGGAACTTTCACGTTGTCGGTGAGAGAGTTCGATTCTCAAACTTGTAATCTCTTTCTCTACCCAAAAGAAAAAAGAATAGCATTCGTTGGTTACCTTGACAGAAGGTGAGCAAAAGAAGGCTGAGAATCATCAAAGAAGTGGAGATAATTGCCATAGAGATTCTCATAATTGGTAATGTCTCTTATGTTTTGTACAATAATGTTGATAAATTAGCTTAGTAACTGTGGAGAAAGCAGAGTCAATGGTTATTGTGATAATGGATTCTTGGTTGGTAGGGATATAAGTAGGAGGGAATGAGAAATGGTGGAGTAATTAGAAAGAAATGCAGATGAAATTAAAGAAGAAACATCGACCACCCAAGAAATTAGACCAAATTTTAAGGTTAGGGGGATGGCACTATATATGAAATGGGAAATTAAGGTGGGTGGGTGAGAAGGAATATTTGAAAGATAAGAAATGGGGTTTGTTGCGTATTTTTATTTAAAATAAACAATCAAAGTCGGCACATAGGGGGTCTTAGATGGTGTGTGGTGGGGAAGGCTAGTAACTTTCACCAATTTAGTGAACTTGTAACTTGTTATACTCTTGCAAATTACCAAAAAGAAAAAATAAATTAAGCTAATTAGATAAATAGAGTACTTTGCCACAAAAAACAAACATCGTATTCAATAATTTAACTTGTAATTTGTTTACACTTTGCAGTTTGCAATTATGTCATTGAGTTGTCCTAACATTTTAACATACTGAGAGTGAAGACCAAATTATGAACTACATGTCCTTAAACAGTCTAAAAGTAACTCATTATTTCTACAAGCTAAAAATTTACAACTTTTATTTGAACAGCGAAAAGGAAACAAGAATTGGAATGTGCAAGTGCATGTGCAACTTCTAGTAAAGTAAATTTGTCATAGAGTTTTAATTATGGAAATTTGCTTTGTGACATTTCCACAAGAAATTGCCTGTGAGAAAGAGCGGTACATAACTTTTAATCTTGGACATCCCACGCATGCAAATATTTATATGGCCCGTTTGGCCATAGATTTCCCAAGTAATTTTTGGGAAAAAAATTGACAAATAGTGTTTGTCCATACAATTTGCTATTATTTGGCAAATATTTTTGACAAATATCCCAAATTCTCAAATACTAGTTTTTTCTAGTATGTAAGCCAAATCTCATTATTTGGGATCTTTTAAAATTGAAATTTTACACCAAACTTTTATCTTTTACAAAAACACCCTCTATAGTAATTGTTTGCGTTGTATTACATATTTTTTTACGTGAACACCAAAGTAGTGATGAAATATTCAGTGAATATGAAAGTGATGATATGATTGTGGATGAAAGTGATGAACAATCGGCTCAGGGTAACAAAGTCATGTGTTTTGTCTACTTCACGATGTATGGAATGATGCTTGTTGCACTCACTCCAAATTACCACATTGCTCCAGTGTCATGGACACTACTTGTTATTTGTTGCAACGAAGATTCAACTGACTTGTAATACAAACTTATGATTAGTTTTAATAGTTTTTAAAACTTACAGGTATAAATCATATTTTTCTAAAAAAATGAAATATGTTTTCTAAATACTATGACCAAACACATGGTGAAATTTTACCCAAATTTTCACCAAAATAATATTTGAAAATCTATGGCCAAAAGCTAGCATAAGATGAGGAT